CTCAAACAATACTTCCGTGGACTCCACAAAAAAAGCAAAGTAAACAACAAAAAACATCCGGCGTCATCAATGCTCCACACCACGCACTGTTCTCGTGATTGCAGCCGCACCAGCACAGTCGACATGCACGAGAAAACTGTGGCCCAGCGCACAGCAACAGGCAGCAGAACGAGTGCGGTGGGCTCAAGTGGAAGCTCCTCCGGAGACACTACGATCTGCACGCAACGGACCCAAACAACACCCTCGCACCAGCGTAATCGCCAGGCTTCCGCACAGTCGCGCAGCTCCGGCGCCGCCTTCACCACCAGGCGAGCCCGAGGCAGAAACATCCACCAACTAAAATCGACATCCACAAACGACTGTTACGCCATGCGGCACGCTGCCCATACTCTAGCCACCACCAGGGAAGCACACATCTGCCCGCGTTTCCAAAAGATTCAACAACAGCCCACGCAACGCAAACAACCTCCACAAGCCCATGGGCGACTTTAGCCGCAGTCCGCTTCTCGTCTGCCCGCCCCACCGCCGCAAGCGTCTCTCGCGGTTGGTACCGCCTTGCGTGCTAAGTATCCCGCGGTAGCAGCCCCTCTGCTCTCCCGCCATAGGACTCGGCACCACCTTTACACGGCTGCATTGCACTTATCCTGCGTGCATTGCTGTAAGAGAACCTGCGGGGAGAAAGAGAGACGCAGCTGCAGCACACACAGGCAAGGGACCGTGCCCCACCGGCGTCGCCCGCCCCCCACTAGGCGTCGGAAGACAGGCGTAAGGCAAAAAAACAAACCACACAATTTCCCATCGCGCACTCACCGGAATAATAAAACGAAAAAAAAAGGCACAAACCCGGGTGCATCGCCCATTGGTGGCCCAACACATAAACGCACCTTCGCGTCACGTGCTCCCAGCAGAAGCACGCAAGCAGCAAAAAAAAAGTCAAGCAATATGTTTACGCAAAAAAAAAGGAGGTTTTATTCATTCATTCATTAATTACACAATAAATGGAACAGTTCCTTCGAAATACGTTCCACACGTAAAGGGAATGGCGACGTGTCATGGCCAAAGCGCGCCATGAGCGCAGCGTAGTCGTCCTCCCGTACGTGGTGAAGACATATGGAAGATGGCATCACCTGCGAATGCCCTGTGTTGTTGCGAATGTTTCCAAAAAGACAATCAAAGGCCCTGACATTCACCAATGGCTGGGGCTTCACTTCCTGCAGCAGCACACGCCCAACCATAATGTCCTCGTGGTCCATATTGATTGAAAAAATTTCGTCCTCCTGCTCCTTGCTGTATGGCAGGTACACCAGGCGTTGCAGCGGCTTGTACGACACCAACGCCTCCGCCAAATCTCTCGACAATGTGTAGCACCAGCCAATCATAAAAAAAACACCCTTAGACTCATCCTTCTCTGACGCTGGAAGAAGAAACTGCGATCCCATGTAGATCCCACGGCGCGGCAGAAGTCGCAGGTTCACAAGGAACCGTGGCACTTGAAGAAATATATCATCGTCGCCCTTCGCAATGTAGCTGGCGGTGGGGAACAAGCGGAGCGCAAGATCAAACCACATGTACGTCTTGCGGCTTACAGCCATCGCAGCTTCGATGCCCCAGTCATCATCACCTGTTTTTCTCGTCATCACACGGCCCTCATTCATTGGCAGCGCAACCACGTCGTGCCACTGCGCCGCCTCCTCCTGCAGCGCGGCGGAGTAGTTGTAGCCATGCGCTGGGTGGCGACCAAGGACGTACAGCACAAGCATCGCACCGGTGAAGTCATTCGCCCGCGTCGCCACACCGGGGAACCGCCAGCACGTTGATCGCTGCAGGTTGCGACGCCTCCGCTTTATTTCGTCATCCACAGAAGGAATACCCAGCACAATCAGGTAGTGCCGCCGGCCCCACGTGTCCACAACGCTGCGCGGGATGTGGGCGAGTGCCGCGTCATCGGCCGCTGCCGCTAGCGGGTGGCAGGAACTGTAGGGTCCAGCCGCACCATAGAAGGCGGTGTCAAACGAGAATGACAGCAGAGTCGTGACTGCAATGAAGAGAAACAGCAGCAGAGCAACCCGCGTCAGTGTCCGCTTAGTTATCAGTAATCTCCGCCTCGGCATGGCCGCTGCTGGAGTGAGACGCCAAACAAAAGCAAAAAGAGGTACATGCAAAAAAACACAAGCAACCAACGCAAGTAGAGCAGCAGAAAACAGAAAAAAAAACGATAAGCCGCAGCAGTGGGATGAGCGAGGGAAAAAATACGCCACGCTGAGAGCCAGAACTGCAGTGCAAAAGTCATGCACAGCAACAGGCAGCAGAACGAGTGCGGTGGGCTCAAGTGGAAGCTCCTCCGGAGACACTACGATCTGCACGTAACGGACCCAAACAACACCCTCGCACCAGCGTAATCGCCGGGCTTCCGCACAGTCGCGCAGCTCCGGCGCCGCCTTCACCACCAGGCGAGCCCGAGGCAGAAACATCCGCCAACTAAAATCGACATCCACAAACGACTGTTACGCCATGCGACACGCTGCCCATGCTCTAGCCACCACCAGGGAAGCGCACATCTGCCCGCGTTTCCAAAAGATTCAACAACAGCCCACGCAACGCTGAAGCCACTGCAGCGCGGAGTGAACGCACGCTCACGCCGCCGTGCTGACGCCAGACTCCGAGCAGGCGCCGCAGCCTTCTGTGTTACAGTGGAACATCGCAGTGCCACGTCCGCTGTGGTGCTCGTTGCGTCTGCCTGCCTGCCTGTCTGTGTGTGTGTGTGTGTCTGCGGCTGGCGAGGGGTGCCGTCCCACAAGAAGGGAAAGGAGGATGGAAGGAGGTCAACACCAGCGCAGCCGCGCGAGAAACAGCGCGGAAGGGAAAAAACAACGGTCTCCTACGCCCACACCAACATACACTCAGCATCATTACGGTGAGGGCTATCATGAGAATTACAACAAATGCATGTAAAAAACTTCCAACGGTCAAAAATATTAAAGTTATGTATTTATTATGCTCATACACGTCTACACTGCTCCAAAGTAATTCTTTTTTTTTTGTTCAATGCGCACTAAAATATGCAAAAAAAAAAGAAAATGTATAAGCAATATTCGAGCGGAAGTTTCCGAGTGACTGGCGGGAGCATCCGCATTTGTGTGTGCCCTCCGCTCGTGCGCGCGATGCCTGCACTCCGCCGCCGCACCCCGTGGCAGCCGCACCGGCAGCGCCAGAAGGACGGCGACGGGTTGGCGGCACGTTGTGCAGAGGCGCCTGCTGCCTCCCGTTCCGTTGCCGTGGCGAACCAAGAAGGATGTCCACCCACACGCGGTGCAGCTCAGCACACCCGCCGCCACGCTCGAGTTCCGACCACATCGTCAATCCGCACCATCACATACGCACACGTTCCAAGCAGCGCAGAGGGAAGGGAGGGCCGCGGGACTATCCGGCCGTAGAACCACACAAAACATAGCAAAAACAAAGGCAAATAAAGAGAGAAGAGGTATGGGATGCACTGCACCACAAAGCTTGAGAGATGGAAAACATATGCCTCTCCATAGGGAGTCGCGCTTGGCCGCAGGCTGCTGCGGAGGCGCACCGCACATTCGCTGGCGGGCAC